GGCTCTGCAGGACACTCCTCGGGAGGGTGAAATTGGAGGCAGCCTTTCCCAGAGAACCCTGGAGATGTCAGGCAGCAGAGTGGAACAGGGATGAAGACCCTCAGCTCTTGTACATCAGATGTGCCTTCAAGAGCCAACAATGCCCAGCCAGACTCAGCAGATATCTGCTCTCCTCTCAGCCTTTTGCCCCTGAACTTGTTGCATGTCATCCAATGGGTTTATGTTAACTAGAATTTTCTTCCTTCTCTTATGGAAACCAATCTTATGTACGAATGCCTCAATTCATTTTTGATATTTCCAATAAATGTCTCATCATATCTTCATCTCAGTCTTTTTCATTAATGCTTTTCTTTGACATATTCATTCCAATGGAAAAAGGATACTTGTACAAAATTATAAACCTCTTTTTTCTGACTGTTTTCCACCTGAACTTATAGAAAATAATGATCTCCTATCTTTTTATGCCTATGATGCTAGCAATTAGTCTTGTGTTGTATGTTGGGACATTGATGCAGAGAGAAAGCTTGGTTATGAATGAGTGAGTTCTGGTACAGTAATTCTGTATTACTGAATTCTGTCAATTTTGAAGGCAGAGTTCCTACCTGCATAACAACAACTTGGGAAATTAGTTTATAAAAAGTCTTCTGGTAACATTTGTCCTTGGTATGGTGATAACTTGGCTTTGGGTTTTAACAGTTAAAGCCATAACCTTTGCTCTTGAGTACTGGTAAGTCATTATTTAGCTCTTTACTGTTCAAGTAGTCAACTTAGAAACATGTTCCATAATCTGAAATCATGGCATGGGTAGAAACAGAGATCCTGATATTGATAGATTATAGATTGCACAAGACTTGGTATCAGGACACCTGGATTCTCAATCTGATCCCATGATTAAATTGAGAGACATGCTCACCCCAGGCACTCTAAAAAGGTACTAAGTTTATTGAATTGCCAAACCTAAATCTTATGCTATTTGTGAACTGGAATCTGTTTTTCAAAATAAGATAAGGGCATAGACTCACTAAAAACATGGATTAAAGGAAACAGAATTGTGTGACAGCCAGCCTGAGAAGTTGACAACATTGACCTTTGACTTTTCAGGACTGGCTTGCTTTACTTAGCATGAGAGTGTCCAGATCCATCCACTTACTGGCAAATGCCATAAAGTCATTATTCTTTATGGATGAGTAGTAGTTCACTGTGTATATGTATCATATTTTCTTTATCCATTCATCTGTTCAGAGCACCTGAGTTACCTCCAAAACATGACTATTGTGAATTGTGCTGCTATAAACATTAATGTTGCTGCATCAATGTAGTATTCTGATTTTAAATTTAAATACTAATTTAAATTAGTATTCTAATTATACTGAGAACTGAATTAGCTGGGTCACATGGTGGTTCCATTACAGTTTTTTGAGGAATCTCCATGCTGATATGCAAAAGCTATTCCAAATAATGGGGGGGTGAGTAAAAGGAAGCTCAATGGAGTAGACAAAGGGGAATGAAGGTAAAGGATGAAGAATGGGATAGGAAAAGACAGTGAAATGAATCTGACCTAACATTCCTATGTACATATGTGAATATACCACAGTGAATCTCACCATTGCATACATCCAGAAGACACTAATTTTTAAAAAAAAATAATAATCAAATAGCAGAAGTATTAGAAAAGTAATGGGAAAGAAACAGGAGGTTGGAAGAAGGAATGGGAAGGGGAAGAAGTACGGACTTGATTAGAACAAATTATATTCCATGCATTCACAATTGTGTCAAAATGAATCCTGCTGTCATGCATAACTAAAAAGAACCAATAAAAACATTCCATGTGTCTACTCCTAGCTATAACCACAGTGATCATGCATTCTTCAACCTATGTGGCAGGTACTTGCACTCAGTAGATTGTGTGGTATATTTTGGGAATCAATATCATTCATACAACAAGTTCACAAGTAAGTGTGTGTGTGTGTGTGTGTGTGTGCTGGCCAGTAGAGAGGGAAGTCTTCTTGAAAAAAAAATTCAGGATTTGATGTCTTCACTGCTCACTTGGATCAAATATTATTAAAGATATCACCAATTATCCACAAAATTTCCCAAAAAGTAGAACAGAATATTGTCTATGTCTTTTTCAAAGACCAGCATTATCTTAAATCTAAGGCCATACAAAGACACCACCAGATAAGAAAACTATAGGATAATATTCATGATGAAGTAGATACAGCATTCCATAGATACACCCAATTGCAGACATTAAAATACAATGCACCATAATCAAGTGAAATTTATCCCACAGATGCAAGCAAGCTTACACATTCATTATCAATAAATATGAATCTACATCTTGAAAAATGAGGACAAAAATTATAGGGTCATCTCCTTAGGTTTATAAAGCTAATTTGACAACTTCAACATACTTTTATTAAAAAAAAATAACAAATTAGGTATAGGAGGAATGTACTTCTCACATTAAATTTCATCTATCACAAGCCAACAAATAACACTATATTCAACACTTAGAAATGGAAACCTCTTCTCTAACATTCAGGACAAAACAACAAGGTCCACTCTTGCAACTTCTGTTCAAAATAAAAATAGAAGGCTGGGAATATAGCCCAGCTGGTAGAGTGCTTGCCTCACATGCACAAGGCCATGTGTTCAATCCCCAGCACCACACACACACGAAAAATAGAAGTCTTATCAGAGCAGTAAGGAAAGCCGAGGAAAAGCATTATAAAAACGAACAATAGAGGTGTCACTGCTTTCTGATGAAATGGTCATATGTAGCAAAATTCTAAATGTCATTACAAAAAGTGATATAATTGATATAAAATTCAATGAAGTTGCAGATACAAAATTGTAACACAAAATTAGCAATGTTTCCCAACATTAACAATGAAAATTGCAGAAAAAGAAATGAAGAGCCATTTTATTTCCTACCATAAAATACCAATACTTTTCTAATAATAAATGTACTAGATTTTATGATAACAAATATAATAATAGTTGATTCTTTCTTAATATCAAA